GACTTCACATTAAATACCTGATGATGACAGTCATATGCACTTTCACAACATATTGAGCTTGAAGTAGAAGATTTTAAAGAGAAGGTTATGGCATTACTTTAACTAAAAATCAACAACCTCAAGTTTGGCAAATGCACGGCAATACCCAAGTGGTCATGAGGATAATGACCATAACAACCTCTAAAAAGGCAGTGTACAAAGAGGAATAGAACCAGGTGTTATAACAATTACCAACCCATGAAATCCAGTTCACATACTTATAGGGGTCATCACTACTAGTGAAACACCAAAGATACAATCCCAACATACAGTTTACCACATCAATCTGAACATCTATTGAGGATGGTAAGTGGAGTAGAAAGAAATTCGACGGCCATTCAATCAAAAAACAACTTTGTCCAGGACGAGCCAGTAAAAATGACATCCTTATCAACGGTATTTATCTTCAGAAATCCAGACAACTTAAATACTGTTCAAAGAATAAGCAAGCAACATTGACAGCAGCACACAGATAAGAGAGAGGCAGAAAATCAGCGTATATGGAAAAGTGATCACTCACATTTTTTTTTTTAATAAAAGTGTATGCTATTGATGTGTTGACACCAAAGGGGAGTCACCCATATACAAAAGATCTACATATCAATTAGTATATGTACAATGGAAGCAAAATCATCCATACTATCAAGGTTATTTCCAAAGACTATAAAACCAAAATAATGAAATCATTTATCCTTGATAGCAACAAAATCACTCTCTTTTCCCTCAAAAACTCTAATGTTCCTTTCTTTCCAAATGACCCAAAAAATGGTTAAAGGGATAAGTCTTTTGAGTTTGTTCTTGATACATAGCCCCTCCCAAGCCTATTGCCATAACCTAGTTTAAGCCCATAAGACTATAGACCTGTGTCCAAAAGATTCGAGTGACCGGACACCACAGGAGCAAGTGTTTGCTGGTTTCAACATGATTTTTGCATAGGAAGCATCTATTGGCCATAAGAAAGCCCCTCTTCATAAGATTTTCAATTGTAAGAATGCTTTCCTTAACAACTTCCCAAGTAAAGAAAGAAATCCTTGAAGGAACATGGACTTTCCAAATCAGCTTAGAGGGGAAAGCATCATAAGTATCATGCTGAAACCGGTGCCATCCAAATGTCTATAGAAAGATTTGACAGAAAAAATGTCATTCTAATTCAGATTCCAGCTAAGTTTGGCATCTGTGTTTCTGAGCTGAACATTGGCCAGAAGCTGAAGAAGTTTTTCATATTCTTCCACCTCCCAGTCCTGCAGGTTCCAATTAACCGTCACATTCCACAACAAAAAGGTAATTCTTCAATAAAATCCATACAAAATATAACCCAAATTTGTAGTGGAACAGGAAGATATTGCAAAAGTTCGGCAAACTGCAGATACCCTATTTTATTTTGCTGGCACTCTAAAGACCACCAACCATAGTCCAGAATCATGCCAAGCCATTAAAAATCTGCTGCGATCTTTTTCAAAGTTTCTGGGTCCTCAGCGACAAAGGAAATGAATGGCAGACATAATGTGACGTACCAAGGGTAAAGGTAAATAATATGCAGGGTAAAAAGGGTAAGTTCGTACAAGGTAGCTTTGTCTTTCCATTATAACAAATTAGGGTTAGGGTAGGTGAATGGAGAAAAAGAAAAACAGAAAAATAGATAAGGATCGGGATCATCATTTCAGGTGGTTACAATTTCCTCCTTTATAGCCTATAATTAAGCATGTATTCAAGAAATGAAGGATATCAAAAAATTATTGAAATCATAATATATATTCTCTCGCCGACTCTTGATTTTCTTTCTTTCTCTCGCTCTCTGCTTTCTCTCTTTTTCTTCCTCTTTCTTCCAAATCCGAACCATGTATCAGGTTCGTGACACAAAATTGCTGACATGATTTAAATTCTCGAGAAAGATCAAACCACCCTTCTAACTCCAGAGCTGAGAATGAGAACCTTATCATATCCATTTACAAAGTAATTGATGATCTTTTTTTATCAAAAGATTGATCGGTTCGGTTCAGTTAGTTTTGATCGGTCTGTTTTTTTTATCAGAAATTTTTTTTAACCACAACCAACCGAACAGAACATTGCACAATAGAAAGCCACCCAAAGTAGTTAATAGACTAATTGCTCTTATGTTTGTACTTCTAGAATTATAATACTTAACAATGACTAAGCCCATACAAATGAAATTGGCTAGGCGAATTTTTTGAGTTCTTTATTTATGCAGGTATACCACCCAAAAAAATCGCCCTTTGGGCCGACGAACCATATTTACTCTTTATCTTGGTGTTCCTCTATGCTATAATCCTATGGCTGTCTCTTTTTAGGATCCTGTTCTGAGTGCGGTTTCTAAGTGCCTGGATTGCCAGAAAGGTGCTAGTTTTTTGGAGCTATTTATTCTTCAATCAAAATCACGACCCAAAACCCATATCCTTTTATTTTAGTGTAGAGGAAATGACCCCATTTAACTCACTGCTTAATCTCATTTATTGCACAATGAACCAAAATTTTAAGGAGGCTTATTCAGTTAACGAACATCAATTGGTTTGAAACAAATGTTCACTAGGAGGACTAAAATAGCAAAATAAACAAATGAACCAACTCTATTCATCAAACAGTTTGGAATATGCATTTCCTCATTATCTCATATATATAATCAAGAGCATGAAAATGGATGCAACTACACACCAGGTGGACATTCAGCAATTTCATTTTCATTGCCAAAAATCATTCTTACACGTAAATCATCATGTTATGGCTATACCTTTCCTCCTCTGCTTTTTGTTGTTCCTTCCTTCTTTCTCTTTTCTTCCAAAAACTAATCCCAAAACTGATAGCCTCTCTGTATTTCCCTCAATCCTTCTTCTTTCTTTTCCTTCCCCTTTTCCGCTCGGCTCTCCCCCTCATTACTATCTCTGTTTTCCAGCTCCCGCTCCTCTCTCAAGTTTTTTCACTCTTCCTCCTCAAATCGCCTGCTCCTCCGGGCCCCTTTTATAACCGCGTGCATCCGCCAAATCCTTCCCAGATCGACGCTTCTCCTTCCTTCATGCTGCAATAAATTTTCCCGAGCCTCTCCTCGCTGTTTCCCCCTCAGCTCAGACTTGCATCCACTCTGATTTTTCTTATTTTTTTATTTCTTCTTTCCTGCTTCACGAACCCTTGACTTGCTGCTAGCTTCTCGTCAGATTGTCCTCCAACTTCGCGCTTCCTTCCCGTTTCTTCTTCTTCCCGCTCAGTTCACCTGCTCCTCTGTTTATTTCCATTTTCTTAAAACCTAGACTCTTTCTGTCTCTTTCTCGACGAAGGAAGCGGGAGAAGATTACTTCTTCCGAAACGACCCCGTTTCTCTTAAGCAGAAGAACTGGATTGTAATTTACATTCTAGTATAATAAATTTTAGTGATAAATAATTAATGTATATAAATGACAGTATTTAAATATCAATGATACAGGATATAAATAACAAAAAATTTTTATATTTAAATGAATGTATATTAATATATAGTAATAACAACTGTTTATTTAAATAATAGAATAATTATAAAAATTATTAATCATAAAAAATACTAACAAGAAAATCATCTTCAGATAATCACTTTAACACTAACTTAATCAGTTATACTGTTATATATAGTTATAAATCGCATCAACTGACTTGTAGAAACTTGATAGCAATATCGATAGGCATTTCACTTAAGTAAAGTACGAACAAAGATTTGGTAATATAACGAATTTTTTTTTTAAGGAAGTAGTCAGAAAATCATCATTAACAACTCTACTTTCTGAAATTGATAAAGTAAGTGAACTTACATTTCCACTTGCATTAAAGAAAAAACTATCGAGAATGTGAAAAACGCAAATCAAAGAAAAAACAAAATAACTTGATTTTTGGAAAAATCAAAGAAAAAATACAAAAATACTTACTAATCTAGAAGCTGAAGAACGCAAATTAGAAGTAGAATCAATGACCCAACATTTGGAAGTAATCGAATAAGAAGAACAAGCAGAGGTCGATCGAACAAGAAGAAGATGTGAGTAGTCCGGCCCTCCCTGCGTGTGGCACGAATGAAGAAAGAATAAGAAAAAATAGGGTATTCATTTGTGATGATAAAAATAGAATTAAATATATTTTATGGGGGTATAAGAGAAAAAATAAATAATTCATCGGTCACATACTACCGATTCGGTGGTTTTAAAATTTATCAAAAACTTGCCAGTCGAATACATTTGCTACAATTAGAAGTTGAAACAAACACAATTTTCTCATATATTTTGAGTATTATGCGTTAATTGTCTATCATTTATCACGATTCAAACATGATGTTAAGCCTGGGTTGCTTAGATATGGCTAGATTTGAAGGATTTAAAATGGGATGGGCTTTAGATTTTTACCAATAAAATGAATATATAAAATTCACAAAATATTTCAAACATTGATAATAGAAATTTCATCCCTAATTAAAAAAATAAAATTTAGAATTAGATGTATGTGACCATTAAGGGTAACTAGTTAATTGTTTGAGCTTGTTCATAATAGCGAATGAGCTTTCATTATGGTATTTATTACCATTGTATTTATTTATCGTGTATATAATCACTTAACTTTGTCTTCCTAAATTATGTTCGATAAGTAAAAAATAATTAAGTATTATATAGAAAAAAATGTTTCATGTTAAAATCTAATAATTTTGTTGATTGCATAAAGTATAAAACGTAGTATTATATAAATTATGACAACTCAACATTTTAAACGAGATACTAAAAGGTCACAAAACACCAATATTAAAAATATTAGTACAATACAAAATGAGAAAGAAAATTTTTTTGGTAATATACCACAATCAAACTCAAAATGACAAGTTTTTTTTTTTTTTTTTTTGTGTTTACAAGTTTGCATTTGCTAGATAATGTCTCCATTTAATATATTCGAACTATATCATCTCTCATCATCACTAACGTAACATCCTAAATGTTAGTTAAAGCATAAGAGTGCTAGATACAGAACCAGATTACGACTGTATGATAGTTAAATGTATACAGCAGAGTAATTTATTACAAATTTCTTACAAAATATATGAATTCCCAATTAAATACATAACTGATGTTAAAAGTGGCAACAAAATACAAAATATTAAATATATAAAAAATATCACTTCTATCATTATGTAAAATAATTCATCCGAATGCGGGACAAGTCATGCACTAATAAAAGGTTATGGATCATCAGAATCCTCAAAAACTTAAATGGGTAAGTCAGAGATCGGTTCTTCACTATCTTTCTCATTTGAATATGAGTATGAAAATAGATGAGTTCCATATATTTAGTATACAAAATAATATTTAAATAACATTATAAGATTTTAAAGATAATTAAATACATTATTATTATTTACCATCAAAAATTGTGTTAGAGTCCTTTATTAAATTATAAAAATAATTTATTTTATTAAAAAAATTATTGAAACCCATCATATCCTATAAACTAAATAGATCATACCGAAAATATAAAAAAATTAAACAAATCAAGATATACACTGTTTTTCGTGTCATTC